TCACTGGCCGTGCAAAATATAACCATTATTGCGCCCCCCCCACCACCCAAAACACAAAAGTCTATTTTTATACTTTTTGCATTGTGTGCAGTCTGAAAGCTACCCACATGCCAAATTTCAAGTTTGTTGCATGTCGGGAAGTATGCTAAACATTTCGAACAGACACACATTCACAAATTTACCTTATATATATAGATATGACCAACAAACTATAGCACATTCCAAGAATAAAATAACATAAAAAAAAACAATTTTCAAGGTCATCATCCGTTGTCCATCTGGAACTGGATCAATGTCTCCAAGATGCCGGGACCATCCCACACTGTTCCTGATGCCACGCTCCATCTCGCTCATCAACATGAGGCTGAGCTCATCTGCACGGTGGTCATCCTGATTACGCTTATAAAGGAACGCTTTTTTATTTTGGTCGCCGAATCTCTCCACTGATTTCGGGCATTGCATGAAACGTCAATTAAATTGTTATCTATTGCAGGCAGTGGCGATGATGACAGTGGTTGAGGATTTTCAGCCTTGAATTACATATAAACACGTAACATGTTTGTTTTGGTTTTCATGAGTGCAGTGCGCTCTACCACTACGTCGCTGCATTTGATTTGAGCGCTCCATTATGAAAACGGTGACTTGAGTTGAATTCCTGGCCATAGCTGAGATCTGTATTGATATCAAAACTAGTACTGCCCTCCCACCCCCCACTACGGTGCTTTTTTTCTGGAAGATTTTTACTGGTTTTTCCTGGATATTTCTGTTGCGAAACGTCACTTTAAGATGTTCTTTGTTCGTGATTTGTTTGTTACGGTTGCACCCGAGTCAAGAGCCTCATGGCTCACAGGGTTATACCTAATACATTAAACTCAAACTGAAACATCACCATTCTATACGGTATACGGACCGGTGTGGTGAAGTATGGTCAAACAGCTCCTATGATTAACACGTATGGGAAGGCCTTTATGCAGCAATCAATTTACAATGGGTTGTGACTAATTAAACATGTTATAATAAGTAATGGCTTACATTCGTAATGATAGTTGAACACAAACGTGACGTGACAACCTACGTGTTTAATTTACTACTGCTACATTGACACATATTTGACTTAATCCAACCACAACTCACGGTGCATTGCATAACTGATGGTTAGTTTAAAATACACAACAATGAATTCACAGAATTTGTAGAACGTGATAAATAATATCCCTTTTTCTCTAAGTATAAAGCGGGAGTTTCCCTTCAAATGGGGAGGCAATCATCTGCATCGTTGGTCCTGAACCAGTTATGAAATGGCAAGAGCCAGTCTTCCCATGGAATAACCACTGTTTACTTCCCTCAATGTACTCCTAATACACATTTTGATATTGCCGCCATGGTGTAACGTTTAAATCACTGAGGTGGCTGGTCAAGTCCATCAATGAGGCAGTTCAGAATCAGAATATTTATTGACGCTGGAGGAATCCGAGTAGCTACAAAGTTATTTTTTTTCACAGATGTCCAGAAGGGGTGGGTAAGAACGTTACAAGCAATGGCCAGGTTTGTTAAATCTCCCTGCCTCCATCCACCCAGCAATTGGGTACCGACAGTTAGCCGATTGGCAGACGTCAGACTGGCACTCAATATCAGGGCAGAATCCCTCGAGAGAGAGGATATCTGAAGCCCCCCCCCCTGGTTGAGGCTCTAATGCCAACATCGACGTGAGAAATACTATAAACTAAACTAAAAACATTTTTTTTTAAATCAGGTAAGGCCCACTGAGCTATATAACTCTTTTTCAGAAGCGACCTGGTAACAAATGATAGCTCAATGCAGTGGCCTATCATGGGGGAAATTGATAGCAGCCAGATACTCTTAGCACATGTTGATTCTAAATGTGGAGGGAAAACCCGGAGGACCCGGAGAAAAATCCACGCCACAATAAGAAGAACATGGAAACACCAAATATACAGCAGGCGTCAGGAACGGGATTGGAACCACGGCCTCCTGCATACCAGGCGAGGTAGTTAACATCTCGCCACAATGCAAACAGCAAATATACAGGCGTCAGGGTCGGGATTGGAACCACGACCTCCTGTATACCAGGCGAGGTAGTTAACATCTCACCGGTGCCACCCCTTTACCAACCTGGGTTGTCATCTTAAAAAATATTTCCACACACCGGTGCACCACATTCAGTATTCGACACGGAACCTGATGCCCCAACCAAATACCAACGGGGCCAATTAGTTGGGTTCCACATTCATCGTAAATCTATTGCAAGAACCAACACCCAGTGCTGCTAGACATAACACATATTGGCCCGTAGCTTCTGCTCTTGTTAAGTGGTTTGACTTTTTCTACAGCAAAAAATGCTTGAGCTGCACTATTAAGCTCTCATGCAAGCTTCAAAAGAATGGCAAGGGTACATGTCACCAGTTGTACAACAAATAGAAATTGTAATGTGTGTACAGGCCACTATATATATTTTTTTACTTTACACAATCCTCTTAGAATGTTTTTTTAGTTCATTCTAGATTTGAAGTTTTCGTGACTGCAAGGATCCATACTCTTTGGTTCTTTCGGTAAAGTCACGTAGACGCAAAAATAAATAAATAAATATTGCGGCATCATCATGATGATTGCTTGTGTTGCAATCGAAACGTCGTGATTTATTTATCGTATTTATTTATATTTATTTTTTCACCTACGTGACTTTACCGAAAGAACCAAAGAGTATGTTTTTTAGTTTTCACTTTTTATAAAGCAGTTATACACACAGTTATCCAGAAATATCAGGCAAAGATTAGTACTCAGTGTATAGAGGCCTACTGGTTTGCAAAGCCTTGGATTGACTAAGATGTAAATATCAAATTCATCGTGGTTTAAAGTTAAGGCTTAATTTGTAATATTTGCGATGTATTTACTTGAGGATGAACTTTACCAATAATCACACATGGATCATTTGTGGTTTGATGTTGATGATAATCACTTTTGACCCAGGCTCAGGTCTAGTACCAAAACATCCCTATTGTGCTTTTTTAAATATATATATCAGTACAGGAAATTGCCCTTAAATCTAAGAGGCTTCGATTGCTGTCGGATCCAACATTGCGTAGGTCAAAGCCAAGTATCCATGTTTCTTAGTGAGATCGCAATGCTAAGTTACCATCACTCCCTCTGCACCAGCCAATCAGCTGCAACAGTTCAGCTAATCACCTGCGAGGTGATTTTAGCTTGTTGGCCAAATGTTGCGGAAGTTCCTCTTCTCCTACCAAGGAGAAGGGTGGCTTTGCAGCATTCATGCTTTCAATGACCATCGCCTTAAGAAAAGAAGTAATATGAGTGTGATTTTGCGTGCACTTATTGTGCGAGTATATGATCATGCATGCGCGTAATGGTTCTAGTGTGGTTCTTTGCATGGGGATGTCTTTATGTGGGTGTGAGAGTTTTCTCGTACGTGTGCGCAGCGGTTAGCGCGCTGTGCTACGAACTCGGTGGTTCGAGTTCGATTCCCGTTCACGACCAATAAGAGTGGCGAATATTTGAACAGGCCCTCGGGCTCCCCTAGGTCGACTCAGACTCAAATGAGTACCTGGTGTGGTGTGTAAGGATCGCTACTGGGGAGACAACAGCGGCCGGGCGTGGTGCTGCTGGCCACCCACACCATTGTGTACCGTTCTGGCCTTTATAGGTGCTCGCTAACAAAAATTGCCCCAAAAGTCTGTTAAAGGCTTTTGCCTGCACTTGTGTCATCAGTGATGGCGACCGCTTGTGTTGCGGTCGAAACATTGTGAGTTTTTTGGGTTTTTTTTCACTTGACTTTACCGAAAGAACCAAAGAATATTCATTTCTGCAGTCACGAAGTTTTAAGTCAATATGTGCTCGAAGTATTTGGCTGCTATGAATTTCCACATAATGAGCCATTTCGTTGAGCAATCATTTGTGGCCAGGTTGCCTCTGGAAAAGAGCTATAAACACTAGCTCAGTAGAGCCCTACCTGGTAAAATAAAAAAAATAGTTTTAGAAGTAGTTTTTAGTCTTATACCATTTATTTTGCATCAATCCCATATGGAACGGAAGTTATAGGACAAGATTTAGCTTACACAACGTCTAGAATTACATAAGTCATGTTGTACTAAGATCTGTTAATAAACATTAAAGAAGCATTCTTCACCCTATCATCTTTGAAAACCCTGACTTTGAAATCAGGGTTTTGTATTGATTCACAATGCAAAGTTAGTTTAACATGTAAGCTCTAGTGACCAATATTACCCATAAGAAATGTTTTTGGGTTAGATCACGTAAATATAAATGTGTCATTAAAACCGCTCGCAGCCGATACATCCATTTAGTAACATAAGTGGGTTTGCTTTCTAACACACCGGTGTGCTGAACTAGTAACTAATTGGCACATTTTGTTTACGTGACAAACCTTACTAATTGGCTGTGTCGGGTGGTGGCGGGTTAAACGACTCATTTATATTTACACGATCTAACCAAAAACACCTTTGTTATGGATAATACAGAGTTAGACTACATTAACTACTCGTAAAATTCAGATATGTGTGTGAGTACACACTGGTTTACTTATCTTTACAGAACGTATAGAAGTATAGGTACAAATAATGAAACCCTTTGATATGATATCTGATAAACAACCGATTATATATGACCCCGGTTAGTGATATGTTGCGCACTCGCAAGGCCGCCTAACACCACAAAGATATTTAGGTGTAAGACGAAGACAATAGCTACCGCTCGTAAGTGCAACACAAAGCTCACATCTTCTTTGGTTCTTTCGGTAAAGTCACGTAGAATGAGAATAAAATAATAAATTGATAAAATAAAATTTTATTTTATCAATTTATTATTTTTATCAATTTATTATTTTATTCTCATTTCTACGTGACTTTACCGAAAGAACCAAAGATGAATCCTTGCAGTCACGAAAGCTTTAAATCGAAACAAAGCTCACAGTAAAAGTACTTCATTGCTAGAATCAACACTGTGTTTTATCTCATTGCAGATGGTGCTTCGAGCGAGGGGGGGACCCTTTCACCTGGCCTGAATGTCTCAGGCTTGGTGTCTCGTCGCTCACGCGAGTCACTGTGCGCCTGAGAGTGAGCCCTGTTCACGAGGTAGAGCGCTGGATTGAAGCAGCAGTTGAAGCTCGCCAGGCACATCATGATGTCATGGATTTTCTCGTTCCCGCAGATCGTGAATCCCCAGAAGACGATCTTATTGACGTGGTATGGCAAGTGGCAGATGGTGAAGATGATGGATACCAGCGAGATGGTGCGGACCGCCCTGCTCCGTTGAAACCTGGTCTCCTCCTGCGTGGCGATGGCGCCAGACATAGATTTCCTTAGTGCGTGTATCATGCAGCAGTTGAAGACCATGATGATGAAGAAAGGAACCATGAAGCCTAAGATGATAATGGTAATGCCGTACGCCGTGACGGTCGAGTCAAATATGACGAGACTGTAACACCTGGTCAGGTTGGTGTTGACATCGCTGTAGGTCCCTGCAAAATGAATAAAGGGCAGCGTTTCTGTCAGAGTGATGGCCCACACGATCACACAGAGGACCGCGGCCACTCTGAGCGTCTGCCATTGCCGAGAGGCGATGGGATGACAGATGCCGAGGTAGCGGTACAGGCTTATGGCGGTCAGGAACAAGATGCTGCCGTACATGTTGAAGGAGAACATGAACCTTACGAGACGGCACATCGTGTCTCCAAACACCCAGCTGTTGTTAACGATGAAGCTGTAGATCATGAGAATTAGGGACACGGCAAAGAAGAAGTCGGTCGTGGCCAGGTTGAGCATGTAGAGTGAGCTCGGGTTCCATTTCTTATCCTTGAAGAAAAGGCTCCAAAACACGAACGTGTTGAGAGTAAGTCCAAGCAGCACACAGATGGAGTAGAAGAATGGAAGTAGGGTTGATCGATAGGTGAAGCTTGTTACGCATGTGGTCTCATTCACAGAGCCCTGTGAATCAAGCATTATTGTCTTGCTGCTCGGCATTGCAGAGTATAAACTTGAGAGCTGAGCCGTTTCAAATCGCTCAAATGATGGTTGAAGCTCTTGCATGCTGCTGCGTTACCTCTGAAAGAAAATAAATCGCAAGTGATGCACAGTTAAATACAAGTCACTGCAGTAAAGTTCCACTGTTGCAACATGGGTTCCAAAGTCAGATTCATTCGAGAAACAATTCAAAGCATGCACGCACTTAACCGAGCGTTGGGCAGTGTTCATCGTCATCTATTGCCCTGCTGATCTGCCACAAACCACGCAGTGCTCACTTTATATCCCATATAGGGATGATGATGGGTCGACACCCAAATAGGATTTGATCTCACAATCTTTTAATTGTGAGGTGCATGCCGTGACCACGTTAGCTGAATGGATAATACTTCAGGAGTCGACACAGTGGAGGGTTTCATTGCCACAGCTCTCTGTGGATAAATGACCAAAGCCTCCCACGATGTTAAAGACTTTTTGACTTTACTCAACTTAATTAAAAAAAAAAACCTTTGCTAACGCCGTTTGTCAACATTTCAAATTTCAAAACAGTAATAACCATTCCTAGGTTTCACACTCTTGATTTACCCACATTTGAGACAATTATATGTAATGAGACTCATTGGGTTGTCATCTCCTTAAGAAAACGACATCGATTAATTATAATACCAAGAAGACTACAATTACCAAGGAGACCCCCATGCTAAAAGTGCACATTTAAAAAAAATATATTATTTGTTATTAATTATATTGTTTACAGGAAGGGCATGTTGGCACAATGTTTCAGGATTTTATCTTCAATTAAAATGAAACCTCAAGATAACTTACGTAAGGCATTATACCTCATGTGCTTGTGCGTGCAAGTAAAATCAAATAAAATATGGAAAATCTCTCCCTGCTAAAAAAATAAAAAAATCCATTAATTTACCCAGGAAAGCCACGCTAATTCTCAAAAAAAAAAATTCAGGAGGGCCCTGAATTTCGATGGTTGTAGTGTTTGGCTTTGCGTGGGAGAAACTAAATCATCCAGAGAAAACCCATGGAGGTGATGGGGGTAACACTCAAAGCCCCACACAGGTACAATAATCAATTTCCGTATGCCAACTTCTGGTCACTTCGCAGCACAAGTCAGATGGTCATTTAATTACTAACCAAGCTCCACTCTGCTTAGCTTCCGAGATCTAGGGTGGTTGTGCCATCAAATGAGCACCAGTGGCTTTAAGCTAGCAGTGGGATTGCCAAAATGCTATGGCGGTTACTAAGCTATCCGTAAGTCAACCACTCCCAACATCCCACAAAGTGATATGTATTTTATTGACCCTGATATGAGTATAGACTGATAACCCCTTGACTGGGCTTTAGACTGCCAAGATTCAGATTGTGAGCCAACAGCTCTCAGAATGTTGCCACCCAGCCATATTGAATGCCTAAATGTTGTTGGTATTATATAACACACATCTCAATGTCCTTAGCGATTGATAAGTACTATATACAGTTTATACGTTAAATTAACCCGCGTGTAAAACGTACCTTCATCTAGACCGGCACCTGTCTCAATCACACGCTTAATTCGTCCCCGGGCGCTACGCTTCTTCGTGAACACTGCAGGCGGCTAAGAATGATCCAGGCATGGCGCATTCAATCCAGCAATTATAGACACCGACCTCGGGCTACAAACCAGCACAACAAAGGCTAAATTAGACGGATTTACACCTGTTCCAATGGTTGTTTCCCCCCCCCCCCCACCTCCTTGTTGCACAGAGGCTCCAGTTCTTTGGAGGTCGGTTTGATGCGGTTATTGACAGAACCACTGGCTGGAAACTCCCAGTTTAGGTTTACTGCCAATTAGGCTTTGATCTGCTGCCATGTGAAAAGGTGCATTCTGAAAATTGCTGACTTCACGAAGCGAGCGAAGTCGTTCGTTTGAAATTCCACATGAAAGCACATCTTGCTGATCGGAATTGTTGGGCATGTTTTATTTTCAATAAAAATGTTTATAAAGTGCAATGCATTCACATTTTATCACCTTATATTCAACATGATAGCAAGCTACTCAGGTCTCTATGTGACTCACAGCTGTGTTGACCGCAACACTACTGTAGTGGCAAAAATGTATTCTGTAAAAGTGGTTCTGATGAAATAGATGTTTCAACCTCCCAGCTCTGTAACAAAGACTGCACCAATGCATTCAACTACATTTACAATTATTTTCATCCCTTCCCAATCCACTACTGGATGAATAACTCCAAACACCGTGTCCGCCACGAGCAAATTGTGACGGTTGGAACTTATCCCGACCCTAGATGTTCGTGAAATATCCCACAAATGCATTTGAGGCCGTATTGTGACTTGGTGGCCCCTGCCATAGATCCGTGGTATTTCCTCCACTGGCGCAGAGCCCGCGGTGGAAATGAGTACTTCTTCCTTGCTAGTTTTAGCAGGGAGGCACTTTGACTTTCGTGCCGTGGCGCAGCCAATGAAAACATCTCTTTACGAGAATGTTTTATGGACCAATCCCGTGGCTTTTGCTCGAGAATGGATCAGGATGTTTTGCTGATGAATATTTCAATGTCACGTTGATGTTGAATAAACGTAGCACACCGTCATTATGTATATATAGTACGTTACTTACAAGAGTTAAATAAAGCTTCGTAGTTTACGGGGGCAAGTTCCGTGATCGAGGATCTGTTGAGGCTGGAATGGCTTACCAAGGGATGGTGTGGTCAGAACCATGCCCAACTGCCGTTGTATCCCCATTACTAATGTTTACACACATCACGAGGTGCTCCTTTAAAGCCGGGGCTGAGTTAAACGAAGGAGAAGCCTAGGGCTGACTGGTTCATATGTCACTTGCCAGGAATCAAAACTCATTGCACGAACTACTGCAAAAGGCAAAGATCCCCCGGATAGCCTTAACAGACTGTTGGAGCAAGTGTTTATAGCGAGCACCTATGATGGCTGGCGTGGTACACGAGGGGGTGGGTGTCCAGCACCACGCCCGACCGCCTTTGTCTCCCCAGTGGCGATGATTTTATATACCACTCCAGGTACTCATTTTAGGCTGAGTCGACCTAGGGGAGGCCCAGGACTGTTTCAGAAAATCGTCACTGGTGTTGGCCGTAACACACACACACACACTTGCACGTGTGTGTACGTATGTTGCATTCTTTTCGCAATTCCCATGCGGATATATTGCACTGGTTAGGCAAGAGCTGGCTTGGTGCTACTGGTAAATATAAAAGACTTCTTCCACAGAAATTCCTCATCTGATTTCTACCGCAGTGCAACAGCTAATTAGCAGTTGACAGTTTGTAAATATTCTTACAGGGAGACCGCTCATATGAGTCTTGCTGGCTCTTTATGTTTTAAAATGAAACACTATTTATAAAATATTTATATTGAAATCACCACAGTGCAGTGCTCAGACATGTTAAAAGCTCGGATTTTTTTTTAAAGGCATGAATTCATTAGACCGTAGTATACCATTGGATTGCTGCCATATAGAATGGTTAACACACTGGGCTGTATAAAGTGGGGATACCCACGTGTTCACCCACCGTGCGCAACCTGCAATTAGACTTGCATCGTCGCATTAACTGCCACGCTTGGGAATCGCACCGGTCACTGGGCAAAGTGTGGGCACGCCTACCTTCTACAAAATATCTGCGCACAGTGGAAGAGTAGGCCAGACACCCCCTACAGGAGTTCTCCAGAACTCCCTCGAGTAATAAAACTGCGGCTGGTGAACTAGGGGATGGCCTGAAGCAACAATATCTCAGCAGAATCATTCGCGTCATTTTGGAAAATACATATTTTGAAACAGATTTGTGTATTATAAGATTTGTACAAAACTAATACCCCATCGCATACAGAGAGAGTCCTTGCCTGTACAATTGGCAATCCACCAGTATTCATCCGAGCAAGCCTGGCTCTGTTAATGAGACACCTGCGTGCAGAGTTTGCTTGTCTCGAAACAATGACTGCTGAAATTATGCACTCCCTGGCGGCTTTGCGGCTGATGGGTTGCGGTAAAAAAAATGTTTTTATGTTGTTATGTGGAGACAGATATGTTAAGTAGATTGTAGTCTGTTTTTGTTTTCATTAAGCAACACTGGGGGATAGAGTGTGCAAGGTTTGATAGCGACCTTTGAATAGCAATGGAATCAAGCAAAAGGAAGGAAGCAATGGCAGGATGTGGTGGCACCAATGGCACTGGTGCTGACGACCTCTTCACTTTGAGAATACGTTTGTAGTAGTGGGTTCGATTTAGCCGCACACTAGAACTGGAGGCAACACGTTTATTAACCAACACAACAGGTAACTCTCATCGTTAACAGGATAACGACATAGGGTGGTAACCACCGTCCCTAACTTAGCTAACACACGGGGGACACTATATCACCGGACCAGGACAGCTCAACACGCTGCCGGGTCCACTAGCGGAGACCGAGGATCGTGGATGGCGGCTTCATTCCCAGAGTTGATCCGGCGGAACAGCCACGCTCCCTCCCGGGACTTGGCTTCTCACCGCTCCTGCGTGGCCGGCTCCGCCCTTGGCCACGCCCCCTTCCAGATCCTTCCGGAGGGACCCTGGGTCCATATCACGTGACCCTCACACACCCATTATGGGGTCCCCTTGCCCCCTCGTCCAGTCACGTGCCCTCTCGGGTTCACTCAGGACATCATGTCCTGACCCGACCTCAGTGACACCCGGACTCTAGTGAGCCATTCCGTGCCATGCTCACTCTGGTGCCATAGAGCGGCACCACGCATACAGTACAACTCTTCACTCGGTACTGTCGCTACACAGTAGTGACACCATTTATGTCGCTACACATTTATAAAATTATTGTGGCATAGTAACAGAGATCGGTGCTTTGTTTTAAACAAATTGACTGTGTTGTCAATACTGGATACTGCACTTAAGCACATTATATCCACCAATGCTTCTAGATATAATTACTTTTAATAATCCACGTAAAATAGTTACATAATTCCGCGTCAAACCTTTCCCCATCACCTTATGAGCATTAGGGCAGCGTTCATATGGCATCCTTTAACCATTAGCGGAAATTACACA